TGCCATTAGTTTCTGCCTTCTTTTACAATTAAGAATTAATTTAGCTGGGTGCAGTGGCTCACACTTGTAATCCCAGCACTTTGGGAAGAAGCTGAAGTGGGTGGGTTACTTGAGCCCAGGAGTTTCAGAACAGCCTGGCCAATGGGGCAAAATACCACCTCTACAAAAAATTAGCTTGGCATGGTGGTGCATGCCTGTAGTCCCAGCTACTCAGGAGTCTAAGGTGGAAATATCACTTGAACCTGGAGGTTAAGGCTGCAGTGAGCTGAGATTGTGCCACTGCACCAGCCTGGGCAACAAAGAAAGACCCTGTCTCAAAACAAAAACAAAAACAAACAAAAGGGAATTAATCCAGCAAGAGGACAAAACTGGACTGCTTCTCTTCCTACTGGACCTTATCTTTAGGGTCACTGCATGAGGAGGGCAGGAAGGGGAGGGAAAGGAAGAGGCCCAGGGCTAGGAAAATCCACCAAATCCACATGGGAGCTTTGATCTTTCCCTCTGAACTAACACAACTATGGCTTTTAACCTTAGGAACTGTCCCTGTTCTTCTATTGGAATGAGTAAGGATCCAGAGCCACAGGAACACTTCGTCCATGGTGCTCCTAGCTTGACCTGATGGGACATCTCAAGTGCACACACACATCACTTGCAGAGACAGCAGGGGACATGGTGGAGCAGCCACTTTGAAGCCGTGCAGAAAGCTCTGTCTTTCCCTCCTTCTGGTCATTTAACCACTTTACACCTGTTTCCTTCACGTGATACAGAGTGAGAGTTCAACAAATTTGCTCTTTCCCTTTCATCTCCTGCTGAAGTTATTACATAGGTGTTGTTCTTGATGGTCCCGCAGGCTGTGGGGTGCCTTGTATTTCTTTCCACACAGGGCTGGTTCAGTTGGATGAAAAGGAGGGCTTCACAGAGAAAGATGAGCATTCATCTCAACTTTCTGAAGGATGAGCAAAATTCAGAGAGAGAGGTAGGAACTTCAGATTTTAGAAAAAATCAGGTGACTAGAACAAAGAATATTTAGGCAGGGGGGAAAAAAAGCTAAAGAAATAGCAAAAAATTAGACAAAAGAGGGTTCAGACTGAAAACAGCAAAATGCAAGGTCAATGAGTTGGTTAACTGGTTATCAATTGTATTCAAGTGGTTTTGGCCTACGAAGCTAAAGAAGAAAACGAAAAATGGAAATGGGAAAGGTATTCCCTTTAAAAAAATCTGCATGTGCCCACACCATGTTCCATTCAAGCCTGGGAGCTACAGGATTACAAATTCTTATTTAACCAAATGTAAATTTAAGCAGATTAATAAGGAGGCACTTAGCAACATTTTTAAAGAAGCCATCAAGAATGAGTTCTGTGATGCATTAAAAATCATCTAAAGTTTCATACAAATTTCCAAGAAGCATCTCCTTTAAGAAATAGCATCACTAGACCAAGGCAGACAGATTGCTTGAGTCCAGGAGTTCAAGACCAACCTGGCCAACATGGTGAAAGCCATCTCTACTAAAAACAAAAACTAGCTGGGAATGGTGATGCACGTCTGTAGTCCCAGCTACTAGGGAGGCTGAGGCAGAAGAATCGCTTGAACCTGGGAGATGGAGATTGCAGTGAGCCGAAATCGTGCCACTGCCTTCCAACCTGGGTGACAGAGTAAGACCCTGTCTCAAAAAAAAAAAAAATTGCATCACTATGTTCACACTGCCTGCAAACATATTAGTGTTATCTTTACCCAACTCTGGAATTTCTAAATCTGAGCTACATGGACCTCTAAAGAACTCATGGATGAACACAATGGGATCCATAAGCCTGCTGAAATTAGAACCATCACATGCACTTCTCTACGGATCAGGGTTGTAGTTTTCACTCTATTATTTTAAAAAGTCAGTGACTTAAGAAAAGTTAAGAAGGCCAAGCACAGTGGCTCACAGTGGCCTGTAACTCCAATACTTTGGGAGGCCAAGGAACGAGGATCACTTGAGCCCAGGAGATCGAGTCCAGCCTGGGGAAATTAGCCAGGCATGGTGGTGCACATCCATCTGGGAAGCTTGCTTGAGCCCAGGAGTTTCAGGTTACAGAAAGCTAGGATCATGCCATTGTACTCCAGCCTGGGTGATAAAGACACTATCTCTAAAAAATAAAAACATAAAAAAAGAGAAGAGATGTTCTAGAAGAATGCATGTACCTAAGTATCGCACTTCTTAGTGTATCTTCTCTAACATCCTGCACACATACTCACATGTAAACACACACCAAGTTATTTAGGAGAGAGTGCATCAACTGAAAATCTATGTATAATATTTTGCTATTACATCAATTCTGTTTGATAGACATTCTATCATCAATAGCAAAAGAAACCTTTTTCAGGATCAGCCGCGAACATGGGCTAATTAGGAGTTGCAAAGTGACAGACTTACACTCCCCCGTCTTATTTTCTCCACAGCCTGCCACCATTCTGAAGTTCTCACGCTTGCAGTGGTTCCTTTTAAAAATATACGGTTGAAGAATTAGCGTGTTAGCTAGCTTCCACTTAGCACAGAACAGGACCTCAAGAAAAAGGATTCTGGAACAGGTACATTTTGGTTGGTGGGGCTGAGAACAAAGAGAATGGGGGCAGGGGGTGGCCACAGTCTACAAGCTGAGGATAGATAAGATGCCATCAGGCGGACACTTCTTTGACTTCACCCACTGGTCTTGGTTGCACTGCTTCTGGGTCCCTGGGTCAACAGATCCTCCCATGGGAGGATCTCAGGAGCTCACTCACTAAAGCCAAAAATAGCAACATATGCCCAATTGCAAGAGATTTCTGCTACTCTTCCTTCTGCCACCCTCCACCCTATCAAATGAAGAGAACATTCCATGCTCATAGATAGGAAAAATCAATATTGCTAAAATGGCCATACTTCTCCAAATTTACAGATTAAATGCTATTCAGTGCATTGAATGTTATAACCCAGGTTCTAACCCTGTGCCATGTGTAAGTGGCCAGTGTGGAAGAACTCAGATACGCTCCTTAAAAAATACTGAGGTCGAAATAATACCACACATCTACATCTTTGACAAACCTGACAAAAACAAGAAATGGGGAAAGGATTCCCTATTTAATAAATGGTGCTGGGAAAGTAGAAAGCTGAAACTGGATTCTTTCCTTACTCCTTATACAAATATTAATTCAAGATGGATTAGAGACTTAAATGTTAGACCTAAAACCATAAAAACCCTAGAAGAAAACCTAGGTAATACCATTCAGGACATAGGCATGGACAAGGACTTCATGTCTAAAACACCAAAAGCAACGGCAACAAAAGCCATAATTGACAAATGGGATCTAATGAAACTAAAGAGCTTCTGCACTGCAAAAGGAACTACCATCAGAGTGAACAGCCAACCTACAGAATGGGAGAAATTTTTTGCAATCTACTCATCTGACAAAGGGCTAATATCCAGAATCTACAAATAACTCAAACAAATTTACAAGAAAAAAACAACCCCATCAAAAAGTGGGCAAAGGATATGAACAGACACTTCTCAAAAGAAGATTTATACAGCCAACAGACACATGAAAAAATGCTCATCATCACTGGCCATCAGAGAATGCAAATCAAAACCACAATGAGATACCATCTCACACCAGTTAGAATGGCAATCATTAAAAAGTCAGGAAACAACAGGTGCTGGAGAGGATGTGGAGAAATAGGAACACTTTTACACTGTTGGTGGGACTGTAAACTAGTTCAATAATTGTGGAAAACAGTGTGGCAATTCCTCAAGGATCTAGAACTAGAAATACCATTTGACCCAGCCATCCCATTACTGGGTATATACCCAAATGATTATAAATCATGCTGCTATAAAGACACATGCACACGTATGTTTATTGTGGCACTATTCACAATAGCAAAGACTTGGAACCAAACCAAATGTCCATCAGTGACAGACTAGATTAAGAAAATGTGGCACATACACACCGTGGAATACTATGCAGCCATAAAAAAGGATGAGTTCGTGTCCTTTGTAGGGACATGGATGCAGCTGGAAACCATCATTCTCAGCAAACTATGTCAAGAACAGAAAACCAAACACCACATGTTCTCACTCATAGGTGAGAATTGAACAATGAGATCACTTGGACACAGGAAGGGGACCATCACACACTGGGACCTATTGTGGCGAGGGGGTGAGGGGAGGGATAGCATTAGGAGATATACCTAATGTAAATGATGAGTTGATGGGTGCAGCATACACCATCATATACATCATATGTATACATGGTGTATGTATACATACACCAACATGGCACAAGTATACATATGTAACAAACCTGCACATTGTGCTCATGTACCCTAGAACTTAAAGTATTGAAAAAAAAAACACTGAGGTCTCAGGACAGGTATAGTGGCTCATGTCTGGAATCCTAGTGTGTCCACAGTTCGTGGGTTCTTAGTCTCGCTGACTTAAAGAATGAAGCCGAGGACCCTCGAGATGAGTGTTACAGTTCTTAAAGATAGTGTGTCCGGAGTTTGTTCTTTCAGATGATCAGACGTGTCCAGAGTTTCTTCCTTCTAGTGGGTTCGTGGTCTCACTGACTTCAGGAGTGAAACCGCAGACCTTCACCGTGAGTGTTACAGTTCATAAAGGTTGCGCTTCGGGAGTTATTTGTTCCTCCCGTCTGGAGTTGTTCCTTCCTGCTGATGAGTTCCTTGTCTTGCTGGCTTCAGGAGTGAACCTGCAGATCTTCACAGTGAGTGTTACAGTTCTCAAAGGGGGCGCAGACCCAGAGTCAGCAACAGCAAGATTTACTGTGAAGAGCAAAAGAACAAAGCCACCACTGCTTAGAAGAGTACCTCCTCAGGTTGCCACAGCTGGCTTGGGTGGCCTGCTTTTAGTCCTTTATCTGGCCCCACCCACATCCTACTGATTGATCCATTTTGCAGAGAGCTGATTGGTCCATTTTGACAGAGTGCTGATTGGTGTGTTTACAAACCTTTAGCTAGACACAGAGTGCTGATTGGTGCGTTTACAATCCTTTAGCTAGACACAAAATTCTCCAAGTCCCTCATCCGATTAGCTACACACAGAGCTCTGATTGGTGTGTTTACAATCCTTTAGCAAGTCACAAAAGTTCTCCAAGTCCCCACCTGTCAGAGAAGCCCAGCCGGCTTCACGTCTCACTGGCACTTGCTTGGGGACTTTGCAGTACCTAGCCCCAGCAGCCCAGAGGGAGCTCATCCCAGACAATCAAGAGGAAAACAAGGGAAGCGCGGAAGAGAGGGAGACCTGGTATGTATCATGGCCAAGGATCCCGCAAAGAGGGAACGGCGGTCCACGCATGGGATTCAGCCTTCGATCAAGTCCAGCAGGTGCTGGCTGGCCGCACTGAGTGTGGGTCTTGCGGAGCCGGCGCCCACCGGGAACCCGCGCTGGGCCGCGAGAGCCGCGCGCAGCCCGGGCTCCCGCCCGCGCGGCTCCCTCCACACCTCCCCGTGAGCAGAGGGAGCTGGCTCTGGCCTCGGCCAGCCCCTGAGAGGGGCCCCCACAGCGAAGCGGCGGGCCGAAGGGCTCCTAGAGCGGGGCCAGAGCGGACGCTGAGACCGAGGAGGCGCCGAGAGTGAGCTAGGGTTGCTAGCACGTTGTCACCTCTCACTAGCACTTTGGGAGGCCGAGGTGGGTTCTCTGGAGTTGGAGACCAGCCTGGGCAAGCTCAGCAACAGAGGGAGACTCCATCTCAAGAAAAAAAAAAAAAAAAAAAAAAAAAAGACACGGTGTAAGAAAAGGGCAGGCAGCACCATTGCAAGCTGGAACCAGAATGATATCACCCCTGAGAGGTCCTTCTTTTTGAAAATCGCATTGTCTCTTATGAATCCTGATGTTCTGAAAAAAATATGTGAGCTACTTTGGCTAAGTTGCAAATGATGGTAGAGTAAATTCTCAAGACTGTATTTTCATGCTGTTTCCTCTCTTTCAACGTAGGAGACAATGACTTGGCCCAGCAGCTAGCAGTTCTCTGGCAGAGAAATCCCTGGGCCCAGCCGGTCTATGAGAGAGTACATGTTCATCCGCTACACCTCGGACTGCAGTGTAACCAGGGCAGGCTTCAATGCATCCTTTCACAAGAGTAATGAGTTTAAATATTTTTTTGATACCATTTTATCCCATCTCGTCTCATTTCCTCTCTCTTTCTCTCTTCCTAATATTTTTGGGCACCAGGACACAAGGCAAGTCAGAGGACATGGATCTCTGCCCAGGCTCTGGATGGCTGGCTCCCCTTATGTCAATGCTGAGTCCTGATCCAAAGCACTGTAGCCAAGTCGTACAAAAGTGTCCTGCTTCAGGTCTCTGGGTGGGGCATCGTCACTCTAGAAGAGGTATGTCCATGGAATGCATGAGGCAGAGCTTTAAAGCATTTTTTTCAGCCTAGCTGAGGGCTGGAACTAGAGCACCGCTCATATCCGTAACTCATCGAAGGAGCAAAACATCATCATTGATCCTTATAAATCACTTGGTTAAAGTCATCCATTTGAGGGTTGGCAGGAAGAGTTTGTTACTCTTGAAATATGAACTTGATGAGTGAAAAACAGGCACCATATATGGGATGCCATCTTGCGCAGTATGATTGAGACTTTTCAAACTTGACATGTGAAGTCCAGTAATAGCCTTAAATCCAAACTAAATGAAAGATAATAAAGTAGTCCATAGAGGAGTGAAAGACTCCCATGTTTTTAACTGAAAAACATAATTTTAAAGTAGATTCTCAACCTAACATTAAAAATTAATCTAATATTTCCTGCATGCTTTTATATACCTTTTATAAAGTAGGGAGCAACTGATGATAAATTGTGTTCCTCACGCTCAAGAGACGCAGGCTGCATTGTGGCTTAAGAGCATGGGCTTTGCAATTAGACCTAAGATAAATTTTCATGCTGCAATTTGACTAGCTGTGTGAGCTGTCTACCCTTCCTTGCTGATGAGCTTCTAGTCCCTGATGACTGGAGAATTAATCATGTATATATTAATATGTATGACAGCTCATTATACATACATACATGTATACATATGTATGTATATAGTGAGGGTAGAACCACTGTAATTGATTCATATGTGTGCATATATATGTGTGTGTATATACATATATAATATATATAAATATGTATGTGTATCTATGAGTGTGTGTGTATGTGTGTGTGTGTGTGTATTTGGCAGCTCCTTGTCTAGAATGTATTTCAAATTTAACCTGTGATATAATGGACTTTGGAGACTCATAAGCAGGGAGGATGGGTGGGGTATGAGGGATAAAAAACTACATATTGGTTGTAATGTATACTAGTCAGGTAACAAGTGCACTAAAATCTCAGGCTTCACCAGTATGCAATTCATCCATGCAACCAAAAACCACTTGTACCCCAATTAGATAGATAGATAATCGATAACAAAAAAATTAACCTTTGAAAACTGAACACTTTATTCCCACCCTTTTCCATGTCACCCCTGCCCATAATTCCATACTCCTCACAATGTTCGCAAATGGAAAGTACATTTTTCTCATTATTTAAGTCAAAAATCTTGAAGTTATTTTTGACTTTTCTGTTTGTCTCACACTTAACCATCAACAAATCACTCTGGCTGTACCCTCACAATGTATCTAGATTGCAACCACGCCTCTCCATTTCTGTTGCTACCAGCTTAGCCCTTGTGCCTATCATCTCTCCTTGGCCTCAGGCAGTCCCCTTTTTATTGGACACTCTGCTCCTGCCCTTCCCTGCCCTCCACTCCTTACAGTCTAAGGACTGCACATAGAGTGATATTTTCAAACGTAAGTGAGATCATGCCATTCTGATGCCCAAAAGCCTTCGTCTTCCTCTTCTTACTCAGAATAAGTCTTTTCAGTTTCCTGCATGACCTGGACATGCTACCTTTGGAATCTCTCATTCTGCCTCATCCATTCTGACTTCCATGATGTACCTTTACCACATCAAGCCTTTACACTAACTGTTTTCTGAACTGGAATGTTTTCTCCCACATAACCATCTGGCTTGATTCTTTATTTCATTAATGTCTCTGCTAAGATGTTACTCCAATGATGTGGCTTTTCTAACTTAACTCTCACAATAAGGTACCCTTCTTCCTCCTCCCATCCATTTTTCTTTATAGAATTTATCACCATCTCACATATTATGTATTTGTTTATTGTATGTCTTCCCCATCTACAAAGAAATCTTTATGAAACAGGTAATTTGTCTTCATTACTTACCTCTATATCCCATATCTCAACAACCACCACAAACTGGGTAGCCAACAGCACGTGCTCAATACATACTTGTTATACTGACCATTTCCTACGCTCTGGCTATATTTTCAAGCATTTTTATTGCCTACACTTTGAAAACCCCCCAAGGAAACTAAGAAAGCATAAAAATCCAGTTGCCAATCCTATTCAAGTAACCTACCTTTGTTTCTTTGTGGGAAGGCTGCGGTGGATATTTGCATGCAGACAAGGGATCATCACATCCCCCAAGTATCTGGAGACCTATTCATCCAACCTCAACTGTTCTTGGGACGTCCTGGTCCAAAGTGGCCTGACCATTGCTGTTCATTTTGAACAGCCTTTCCAGATTCCAAATGGAGATTCTTCTGGCCACCAGGGTGATTACTTCGTGGTAGGTCTTGCTTGCTACCCTTTCTAATTACGTTTTCCATAGACTTTACTCAGAAAACAAAGTGATAATTTTTCTCTCCTGGACATAAATGGATAAGAATTACGTACTCCTTCTTTTGCAATGTAAAGGAGTTGATGTGATTTTAATTTGTCTTTCTTGCTAAGAAATGGTCCTGATATTCTCCACTCGTTGGAGCCTGTGGAGGGAATGGTCATTTTTGTGGCAGCCGTGCTTCACCGACTCTGTTCACCTCGGATAATCAAATGTTTGTTCAGTTAATTTCTGATTATAGACCGTGGCTGCCTGCAGGACTTCGTGGCTGCCCAGGTTCTGGTTTCCATTTGGAGCCGCGCTGTGAGTCAGAACACCTGGGCGCCGAGAGTAGGCAACTGCCTGAGGTGACCGACTGAGGAGGAGGGTAGTCTGGGACACCTGGAAGGGCCACAGCATGCCGATGACCCTCGCCAGGACCTCATTTGACCCGAACAAGCACCGACCCATCGAGACCTCCTCGGTGCACAGCGACAGCCCGAAAGGTCCTAATGAGGCCATAGGACCAGCAGTCACTTACGTGGCCGCCCAACCTGGGTCGAGCCCTTCCCGCAGCCCCAAGCGAGGCAGGGTCCTCGCAGCACCCAGTCTGCTCTACCTCCTTCACCCAGGGGTGGCTGCAATGGGAAACGCCTCAGAAAAGAGGTCCAAGTACCCCTAGGAGGCTGGGGACGTCCATGGAGAGTCCTCCTGTCTCAGAGCCCATTATGGAGGCACGACAGGGAGCCTTTCCCTGAGGGCGGTCAGGCTGCCCTGGAAAGCTCCCTGTGCGACCAGCTGACCTGTGGCTCCCGGACCGCCGGGGAGCAGCAGCCCCCCTGTCTGCTGAGTGAGAACCTTTGGGACGGACCCCCTCAGGCAGCTCCATGGCAGGGAGTTCTACCCCCAGCAGGATTCTGCCATGGAAAGCACGCTGGCCAAGGCTCTGTGAGGCACTGCCCTCGGGGGCCACGGAGGGATGGACCCTGAACGGACACTACTGTGTCTGGAATTGGTGGGTTCTTGGTCTCACTGACTTCAAGAATGAAGCCACTGACCCTCACCATCAGTGTTACAGTTCTTAAAGATGGTGTGTCGGGAGTTTGTTCCTTCAGACTGGGATGTGTCTGGAACGTCTTCCTTCTGGTGGGCTAGTGATCTCACTGTCAGGACTGAAGCTGCAGACCTTTGTGGTGAGCATTACAGCTCTTAAAGGCAGCCTGGACCCAAAGAGTGAGCAACAGCAAGAATTATTGCAAGGAGCCAAAGAACAAAGCTTCCACCAGTGTGGAAGGGGACCCTATTGGATTGCTGCTGGCTCCGGCAGCCTGCTTTTATACTCTTATCTGGCTCCACCCACATCCTGCTGATTGGTCCATTTTACAGAGAGCTGATTGGTCTATTTTACAGAGAGCTGATTGGTCCGTTTTGACAGAGTGCTGATTGGTGTGTTTACAATCCTTGAGCTAGACACAGAGTCGCAGAGTGCTAGTTAGCTAGATACAGAGTTAGCTAGATACAGAGTACCAATTGGTGTATTTACAAACCTTGAGCTAGACACAGAGTGCTGATTGGTGTATTTACAAACCCTGAGCTACACAGAGTGCTAATTGGTGCACATACAATCCTCTGGCTAGATATAAAAGTTATCCAAGTCCCCATCCAGTTCAGGAGCCCAGCTGGCTTCACCCAGTGGATCCTGCACCAGGGCTGCAGGTGGAGCTGCCCACCAGTCCCCAGCCGCACCTGCACTCCTCAGCCCTTGGGCTGTCAATGGGACCGGGCGCCATGGAGCAGGGGGCAGCGCCCACCAGGGGAGGCTCAGGCTGAACAGGAGCCCACCACAGGGGGAGGAGCTCAGACATGGCGGGCTGCAGGTCCCAAGCCCTGTCCCCCTAGGAGACAGCTAAACCCAGGGAGAATGTGAGTGCAGTGCCAGCGGGCCGGCACTGCTGGGGGACCCAGCACAACCTCCACAGTTGCTGGCTAGGGTGCTAAACTCCTCACTGCCCTGGGCTTGTGGTGCCAGCCGGCGGCTCCATGTGCAGGGCCCACTGAACCCGTGCCCGCACCTCTGCCTGCCGGAACTCGCACTGGCCCGTGAGCACGATGTGCAGCCCTGGTTCCTGCCCGGGCCTCTCCCTCCACACCTCCCCACAAACAGAAGGAGGCAGCTTCGGCCTCAGCCAGCCCAAAGAGTGGCTCCCACAGTGCCGTGGCAGGCCGAAGGGCTCCTCAAGCACTGCCAGAGTGGACGCCGAGGCCAAGGAGGTGCCGAGAGTGAGGGCTGCTAGCACATTGTCACCTCTCAATGCCCCCGCTAAACAGGACACCCCAACTGCTGTTGGGAATATGGCCAATGACTGCTCTAGCTACTTCCTGCTGGATAGAGGCAATGAAGGGGCCCTGCAGTTGTAGTGTCCTCCAGAGGGGAGCTCTCTAGGCCAGTGAAAGTGCCAGCGGGTGGTCCAGGGGTCCTCAGTAGAAGTCGTTAGTTGAGTTCATTTGTGGTTCCATTTGTAAGACCATCTGTAGCTTGATGGCCTTGATTCTAGAGGAAGCAAATTTGACGAGAAGGTTAAAGATACAGGGCCCAAAGGCGAGTAACAGCAAGATGGCTGCCACAAGACCTAGAAAGGGGAGAAGCCATGTTGCCCAACTCCAGAGGTTGGTATAAGAATTTGAAAGGTGTTGTATGATTTCAGAAGCCTTTTCCTGTAAATGCCAGGTGGCATCTCCTACTATCCCTGACTGGTTAGTGTAAAAACAACACTCTTCCCCTAAGAAGGCGCAGAGTCCTCCTTTCTCAGCAGTGAGGTGGTCTAGGCCTCAGCAGTTTTGGAGAGTCACTGATGCTAAAAGTCTGTTTGGGATGTGAAGTAAGGATAGATTTCATTATTTCTTGCAAACTGTCTGAGAAATTCTTTCAGAGTGTGTGGTAGTAAGATAATGAAGTAGATAAACCAGCTATTCTGGTTCCTGTAGCAGTAGCCATTCCTAACCCAATAAGTAGGGGTATTAGTCGTATGGCTCTGCACTGACAGACTTGAGCTTTAAGGGACACTGATAAGGTCTGATTTCCTGGGGCAATATTAATGTTGAGACTTAGAAAGACTAAGGTGCAGGTGCCTGTCCAGTTAGTGGGGAGGCACATATAGGTCGATGTTCCACATAAGAAGAATATACCTTGACTGGGTATACAGAACTTTACCCTGGTTTTTAAAGGAATAGGGTATGCTGTTTTTTCTTTACTACTTCCATCTCTCTTTCTTTCTCTTCGACTTCTCCTTTGTCTCTCTTTCTCTCTGACTCCCTGTTTGTTTCTTTGTCTCTTTCCTTCTTTGACTTTCTGTCTCTCTGTCTCTTCCTCTGTCTCCTTCTCTTTATCTCTCCTGTTTCTTCTTCTCTCTTTCTCTGACTTCCTCTTTCTCTCTTTTCATCTTGCTGGTCTTTCCCAGCCTCTGCCAGCTGCTTATGCTGCTGTTTTCTCCTCTCCTTCCCATTTTGATGGCTTTGGCAGTGTAAGACTGACACCTTCTTGGGTATTTGCACTGCATGCAACAACTCTATAATTTCCTTGCAGCATTTAATAGGGGTTCCTCCAGAGGTTAGGAACTCCCTTTCTTTCCATATGGCAGCATGGGCATGTAGGATTAGATAAGCATACTTGCTATCTATATACACATTTATTCTTTTTCCCTTTCCTGGCTCTAAGGCTCGGGTAAGTGCCACTAGTTCTGCTAACTGGGCACTGGTCCCTGGGGGAAGAGGCTTACTTTCAAGTACGGTTACATCACTAACTATGGCATAACCTGCCCTTGGTATCCCATTCTCCACAAATGAGCTTCCATTGGTATATAGGTTAAGGTCAGTATTAGATAAGGGGACTTCTAAGAGATCATGTTGGGCAGCATAAGTCTGGACTATAATTTGTTGGCAGTCATGACCAATTGGTTCTCCATCCTCTGGGAGAAAAGTGGGAGGGTTGAGGGCCACACACATATGTATTTGAAGCACCGGTCCCTCAAGGAGTAGTGCCTGGTATCTAAGTAGGCAGTTGTCTGATAGCCATAAACTTCCTTTGGCACCTAGTATACCATTTACATCACGAGTAGTCCAGACAGTGAGATCCTTTCCTTGTATTATCTTGATAGCCTCTGATACTAAGCCACTGCCGCAACTACCCATAAACAGTGAAGCCAGCCTTTTGCTACTACATCGATTTCCTTGCTTAGATATGCCACTGGTTGTGGGACTGTCCCACAAGTCTGAGTAAGGACTCCAAGAGCTATACCTGCTCTCTCTGTGACATATAGAGAGAAGTTTTGTCCTGTGGGAAGGCTTAAAGCTGGAGCTTGTACTAGGACCTGAAGGCTGTTTCTGCCTCTGGTTCCCATCCTACTAGATGAGCATTTGCCCTCTGGGTTTCCTTGATTAGAGTATAGAGGGGCCTGGCTATCTAGCTGTATCCAGGGATCCATAATCGGCAAAAGCCAGTAATTCCAAGGAACCCCCACAACTGTTTTCATGTCTTAGGGTGAGGATAAGCCAGTATAGGCTGTATTCATTCCTTGATGAGGGCCCTGGTGCCCCTGGCTAAGATTAGGCCTAGATATTTGACCTGCTGTTGGCAAAGCTGGGCCTTCGACCTAGACACCTTGTACCCTTGATTAGCTAGAAATTTCAAGAGATCTAGAGTAGCCCGCTGGCATGAGGCTTCTGAACTGGTAGCCAAAAATAAATCATCCACATACTGAAGGACCAGAGTTCCTGGACTTGAGAAGTGGCCTAGATCTTGGGCCAGTGCCTGACCAAACGAGTGAGGGCTATCCCTAAACCCTTGAGGCACGACGGTCCATGTAAGTTGGGACGTGTGGTCTGTGGGATCCTCAAAGGCAAAGAGAAACTGGGAGTCAGAGTGCAGGGCAATACAGAAGAAGGCATCCTTGAGGTCCAGAACAGTGAACCATTCTGCTTCCTCTGGTATTTGAGAGAGCAAGGTATAGGGGTTGGGTACAACTGGATATAGAGGAATTACTGCCTCATTGATGGGCCTAAGATCTTACACTAGTCTCCACTGACCATTTGGTTTTTGTACTCCTAGAATTGGGGTGTTGCAAGGACTGCTGCATTTCCTTACTAAGCCTTGAGCTTTTAAATGTTTAACAATATCCTGTAATCCTTTATGAGTTTCAGGTCTTAAGGGATATTGCCTTTGATAAGGAAAAGTGGTGGAAATTTTTAACCTGATTTGGACTGGGTAGGCATTTTTTGCCCTTCCAAATTGTCCTTCTAATGTCCAGACTTCAGGGTTGGTTTCCTTCTCAAGTAGGGGACAATAAATTGGTAACTTGTTCCCCATATTCATGTATTATTATTAGCCTTGGCTAATATGTCCCTCCCTAATAAGGGTGTGGGACTTTCATGCATAACAAGAAAGGCATGTGAAAAGAGCAAAATCTCCCAATTACAACTGAGGAGATGGGAGAAATACCTGGTTACAGGCTGTCCAGGATCTCCTGAATGGTAACGGACCTTGAGGACAGTTGTACAGGACAGGAGATTAACACTGAGAAGGCCGCGCCAGTGTCCAGGAGGAAGTTAATTTCCTGGCCCTCAATGGTTAAGCGTACCTGGGGCTCAGTGAGGGTGATGACGAGTTGGCACTTGCCCTAGGCACCCTCAGTCCTGTTGTTGGATCATCTGGTTGGGGGCTTCTGACCCAGAGAACCTTCACCCTCTGGGGCAGTGCACCTTCCAGTGATTGCCTCAGCATAGTGGACATGGACAAGGGGGCAGCTTGTTTCTCATTGGACAATCTTTTTTAAAGTGTCCTAGTAAACCACACTGAAAACAAAGCCTACTGAGTGATTGGCCTGCTCCATTTTCTGTCCTCTCTGAACCACCAAGGTTTGTTTGTCTGAAGGCCATGACTAAGTCTGTGGCCTTTCTCTGATCTCGTTTTTCCTTTTGGACCTGTTGCTCTTGGTCCCTATTATAGAATACCGAGATTGCCAGGTTTAATAAAGCCTCCAAATTTTGTTCAGGGCCCAGGGCTTGCTTTTGAAGCTTTCTCCTGATATCTGCAGCTGACTGGGTAATAAACTTATCTTTTAGAATCAACTGACCCTCAAGTGATTCAGGTGACAGGGGAGTATATTTTCTTAAGGCCTCCCGTAGCCACTCGAGGAAGGTAGAAGGATTTTCTTCCTTTCCCTGAGTTATGGTGGACATCATTGCATAATTCATGGGCTTTTTCCTAATTCTCCTTAGTCCTTCTAGAACACAGGTCAACAGATGTTTACGACTCCAGTCCCCATGATCTGAGTCAAGGTCCCAGTGGGGAGCCATACTGGGGATGGCTTGCTGACCAGTAAGGAATTTATCCCTTTCT